CGCCCAATTACAATGTTGTACCGGTCCGCAGTCATTTGTTACGCGTTCGCGTACAGTACTGCGACGCGAGTACGGTGTGTGTGTGTAACGGCAAAACACTATACGGACGGTAATTTCCGTTCGCGGTGCTCGCGCGGCGGCCGCGTCGAACGTCCCGGGCCCGTTCTTCTTCCCCGGCGGCACAGATCACGATTATAACACGTTATTAGTGTTGTTGTTGTTGTTGTTGTTGTTGTTATGTTAGTTCGTCGCGATGTACGGATGTGAGGGGGTGATGGGGGGAGGGGGAGGGAGGGTTCGCGCGAAACCGCGCGCGCCGTTCGTAAATACATAACACACTGGCGCGCGCGCGATCATCCCTCCGCACGCGCGCGCGTACGAACGAATACCGTCGCGGGACGTGCGTATAACATCCGCCGCGTATAACATCGTATAACATCGTATAACATCCGCCGCGCGCGCCAACAACGCCGCGTTTAACAATACGCGGGCGCGTCGCCGCGGAGAGTGGTTTTCGACGACGACGACGACGACGTTATGATAAATATTGCAGACGGCTACGACGGCGAAAACGTTATTACGTGACATTTTATACACGCGTACGCGCACGGCCGGAAATGAGGCTTTGAGGAGCGCGCGACTGTATTGGTGCGCGCGTACGGGACGAACCCGCCGCTCAACCCCCCCCCCCCCCCCCCCCCCCNCGACGGCGAAAACGTTATTACGTGACATTTTACGTGCCCCCTCCACAGGCCGCCGGCCGCGTGTCCGATACGGGGTGGGGGGGGGGAAAGCTACGGGCACGCGCTAATATGTGCGTGCGCGTGTGCATTGTTGCATACGAACTACCCGCAGCGCCGGGGCAGCAGCATTCGCGTCACGATTCGCACGTCCGCGCGCGGATATTGTACGCTGTCGCGGCTGGTGCGCGTGCGTACGCCATTACGCCCGTTACGCCTTGCCGTTCACCGTCCGCGCGCGGCAGGTGCGCGGGCCCGACGTTGCCCGTCGCAAAAGTTTATCGCCCACCGAGAAAACGGTTCGCGCTCCAACGACCGCCGCCGCCCCTCCCGCGTTTCGCGTATGCGCGCGCGCGCGCCCGCGCGTACGACGCTGCGGCGCGACACGCTGTTCGCCGCGCGCGCCGCTTACACGACAACACGAACAACGACCGCGTCATCGTACCGCTGTTATCGTTATTGCGTCGGTGCGCGGACAATACGCGACGCAGTACACGAACAACCGTACCCGTACCGACTATTACTGCGGACCGTACCCGTCGCACGTGTACGGCAGAGGGCTGCGAATTTATACAACGCGCTAAAAAAATATGTATCGTCGACTGAGCAGAAAAAAAAAAAAAAAAAAAAAGAATAAGAGCCGACACCGAGTACGGGCGCGGTTATACTGTCGTTGGTGGGAAGCGGGAAATGGGCGAGACACGGGGAGTTATTTAATTAAAACCTGTAACCTGCGCCGATATGCCCGTTGCTGGCGGACGACGATCCTTTTCAACGGTTTCTGTGTTTCTCGTGGATATTACGAAAACCCGCTTTGAAAAATCAAAAACAAAGGACCTCTCCACATTACCACGGAGATGAAATTTCCTAATTTCCTTTCGGACAATAAGCTACGCTTGATACATCGGAGCAAGATCTCTGGTGGAAAAGTTTACACAACAAATCGAGGGATATTTTGCGATTAAAGTAGTCCGAGCAAGTGATGGCTTGGGGGGTCCTGGGTACGCCCGAAATGCATTTGTTTTTTCCTTGTTTAGGTAAAAGGGGAAAAACACACGGGTTGAACTCGCGAATCTTGGGTTGAAAATAGGTATGTAAAACCATTCAGCTACGACAAACGTACCTTAAAAGCTACTTTAAAAAACTATTATTTCGAAACTTGGTCAATCCGCTCAATTCTAACTTCAACCATTAAATCGTTCTAATATACATATGATAAAAAAAAAAATTGGAAAATTAAATTTGTTCGACGATTTTCGTCAAAATGTGACATTAAAATTCCTTTATAAAAAGCAATACTATGTTACCCTAAATTCCAATTCCAATGTTTTTCGAATATTCAGTAGTTAATCCAGTTTGCTGCTTTTTGCGGCACCGTGATTGCAATTCGAGTATACGTATATAGAGATAATTGAATCGACTCCGAAACACCCGAAGGCAATTCGAGTAAATAAGATGAACTACCTGTATTTAGAAGGCAATTCGTGTGCACCGATAATATTGGTATACGTACAGCCAGAGCCATCTATCGGAAAATGTATAAAAACAGCCAATATACAAAACTATCCGACAGATCGCGTTATAAGTTCCATAAACTGACTTTTTTTTATTTGCTGCAATTCTGTTAAAAATACACGTAGACTTGAAACTTTGCAATAATACTTATAATGAACTTACCTAGGTTTGGTAATGTTTTCAAAATCATCGAGTTTTTTTTCCAATAAGCGTTTTGAAATCAAATTTAAATGAAAATCAAACAAAAAATACTACTAATTATGTATTAACGAACTGCGCTCGAAATCGTCTTTCGTCAAGCAATGGTTTTTTTATCGTTGCTTACAAATATAAATGAAATGATCTTACGCGTTCTACGTTCCCAACTATTCACCTACAACAGCGACCGCTCCCATTCACAGATCAGCTCTTTTTTTTATGTAATATTGTTTAGAGCTGGCACTAAGGTAAGCTTAGAATCGACCCGTCGGCAATTAGTATGTATTTACTTACAGATTTTTACCGGGGTGTGTTTCAATTGTAAATACCGCCAGCGTCTTTTCGAAATTTATCGCGTTTTCGATAAATACAATACAGTATTTTCCCGTCTTTTCAATAAATACCATCTTCTCGGTAGTAATCAACAATTATATAAATTTAAATTCATTTTCACCGAACATTGTCATTTCATTTCACATATAATAATTGGCAAGATAAGTTTATAATAGGTATCTAAGTAAAACATTTTAATTTTTCGTACTTACAAACTATACGGCATTTATCAGACGAACGGTATTCACCGGTAATACAGTATTAACCGATTGATTACACAGTGTAACACGGTATTTATAAATGCTCTGAAGGGTATGGGCGCGTTGGTCTGTGTAATATTATCGAACAGACGGAGTACTGGGATACTACCTATTTTTCCTTCTAGTTTTACTGTGGCACCATCTTTGCCAAGGGCCGGCACTCGGTATATATTGAATATATATAGAAATGATTATCAAGTCATTTAAAGTACATCTGTAATCAAATATAAATATTATTGATAACGAAAACTAACTCCGAGCGAAAACTTAAAACGTTTATAAAAAAAAATACCTACTATATTATATTAAAAATGTTTTTTCTAATCACTAAGTATAACTTATAATGAACCTCGTTTTCAAGCATCTTTTTCAGCTAAACAATTTTATTTGCATAAAACCACATAAAAAATTCTAAAACCCGCAAACGTCAAATGTTTATAAATAACTAAAATAATTGTTTGAATGTTTTTAAAATTCGGTTTGACATGTTTTAAAAATGATAAATGCTCATAAATAGTTTTAAAAGGGCCACGACGTCTTTGTCACGTTTAAAAAACGTCAATATAAATATTATGTAAAAATATCAGGTTCATATGATTATTTTTAATCAAATTTAACTACAAAATCAAAAATAATAAAACAGTCATTGTCGTACATTTCGCCGTTTTCTCTCATTTTATCATAGTTATCAAAAAAACTATGAGTGAAATGAAAATAAAAATATTACCAGCCCTATACACTAATCAATTCAAATTATGTTTTAGATAAGATGCATAAGATGAAAAAAATAATAAAACATTTCTTAGTATAATAAAAAGCAACTTTTCAACAATATAATTAGTGAATGTAAAATGTAAAAACTGAAATACAGTTTTACAGAGATGGAAGGGATATTTTGAAGAACTACTAAATGGTAGGATGCCAGCCCAGCCTGTATCACATACCGAATATGAAAGAGCGAAGCCTTACGTAGAAGATGTTAGTCTAGAAGAAGTAATAATTGCAATAAGTGGCCTAAAGAATTGGAAAGCACCAGGTACCGATGATATTCCAGCAGAACTCATAAAATATGGAGGTAAGGAGTTACATGTAGTAATCCACAGACTGTGCCAGCTAATATGGATGGAAGAACGGGTACCGGGTAGCTGGAATGAGGCAATCATTATACCATTACACAAAAAAGGAGACAAGACAAAATGTGACAACTATAGAGGGATATCGCTCTTGAACTCTGCGTACAAGGTCTTCTCTAGAATTTTACTAGATCGCATTGTCCCATATGCGGAGGACTCTCTAGGTGAATACCAATGCGGTTTTCGGAAAGGTCGCTTAACCACAGAACAATTATCCATAATAGGCCAAATTATTGAAAAGAGGTACGAATATCGACAGAATATGTGGCAACTTTTCATAGATTTTAAAAAAGCCTATGATAGTATCCACAGAGAGAGTCTCTACAACATTATGTACGAGTTTGGTTTCCCAAAAAAACTAATAGCGCTTACTAAAATGTGTATGGAAAACACGAAATACAGAGTAAGAACACAAAATATAACATCAGGAACCTTTACAGTGGAATGCCCTGTCACCAGTACTCTTCAATCTTGCCCTTGAGAAGGTAGTAAGGATACTACAAGAGAGTGAAGGGGGCCTGTCAATTGGTCAGAATAAGATACGGCTCCTCGGTTTCGCTGATGACTTAGATATAATAGGTGAGTCACTTGCAGACACAGCTAACGCAGCAAGAGTGTTAGAACAAGCAGCGAAGAAAATAGGTCTTGAGATAAACACTAAGAAAACAAAGATAATAGAACTCATTGATAGTGGGGAGGACCCTAATGAGACAGAAAATCTAGCCTATGAAAAAGTTAGCGATTTTAAGTATCTGGGAGCAACGTTAAGTACAAAGAATGATTGGTCAAGAGAAATAAGTATGCGGATAAATAAAGCTCAGAAAACGTTCTACGCAATGACAAAGTTCTTCACATCCAGAATGTTGTCCAGAAAAACGAAAGTAAGACTATACGTGGCTATTATAAGACCGACTCTCACGTATGGCTGCGAAACTTGGACAACGACCAAACAAGTAGAAAAAAACTTGAGAACTTTTGAACACAGAGTATGGAGAAAAATATATGGACCTGTTTTTGATGAAACAATGGAAAATTGGCGAAGGAGGTACAATAGAGAGCTGTACGATATGTTGGATTTAGCACCATTAACAAGCTTCATCAAGAGTCAAAGAATACAATGGTTAGGCCACATAATGAGAAGACGAGAGAACGAAGTAGTTAGAGGAGCATTGGAATGGAAGCCACAAGGTAAAAGACCAAGAGGCAGACCTAGGAAAAGATGGATAGACGTAGTAGAAGAAGACTTAAAAATCCTAGGTGGCGAAGTGTAGTAATGGCGGCTAAAACTCTTAGAGTAGGATTGCAAGTAGAAGAAGAAGAAAATACAGTTTTAATTCGTTTTCATAAAAATTTAAATAATATGGTAACATAGTGCTGCTTGTCATTTGATAACCGTATTTTCAATATAAATTACGCATAAAGTAAGTTTTTCGACGCTCATAAATTGTTTTTTTCCTCTCGACTGTAATTAAAATCACAAAACTAATATAAAACTTATTATATCGAACAAAAAATCAAATAATACGATGATATAGTGGGAATTGCATTTTTAAATAAAATAAAATAATCTTAAGAAAATCCAACGTACAAATTGTCTTGAGTTTAATATATATTTTTTCAAACGTATAACTAATTATTATGATATTAGCTATTATAAATTCGTATACGATTCAATTATTTAAAAAAATTGAAAATAAAATCATAATTTTACCAAGAAATTCGAATTATTATAACTATTTATTTACTTATTTTTTAGTAGGCCATACGACGCATAAAATATGAAAAATTTAACGAAAAATTCACGAGGTTTATTCGCGACGAAGGAAAATATTTCCACATTGCGTTTATATTACCTGCACATAACTTTCGTCCGTTAGAACTTTCCACATAGTTCAACGAAACTATTATAAAATATTAAGTTTATTAATTTAAATATACCTAATATTGTATTCGCCATGTAGGTGTTTTATAATATTATCACAAGTCATACCATTTTTAATATAGTTTGCCATTTGAAAATCAAAAGTAGATAGTACTTTCAGTCCCAAAAATTAGGGTGACAATGAATAACATAAATGCATAAAATTGCAAAGCTTCTGATCAATTTCAAGTTGATCATTCGTTATATTTTTACCAGTTGGTAAAAAAAAAAAAAAAGGATAGTTCATATTAAAATGTGTTTTATGACCTGAAGATTTTTTATGCTATTTTATACTATATACTATATTAATTTTCAAATGGCAACCTATATTAAAAATTCTATAAATAGATCGAGTATTAGTTAAGATAAATATTAATGCTGAAGTTTTTAATTTTCGTCAATCAGTTTACGAGATATGCAACTTTTAAGTTTTGGTTGGAGGAGACTGCTCTCATTAATACGCAGCGCACCGTACCGCCACACTAATGATACTCCACTACTCTCCTCCAAATGCATTACCTGGTATATTATAAAATTGTATTTTGCATATTTTAAGCATTTGGGCGGCATTTTTACAATTAAAGGGAATACAATATGAAAATGTTATTTCTGACTTACGATAATACGAGATATAATAATATAGTCGAAAAAGATATCCATATATTATAAGATAAAAGTAAGCTCAGCGTTTAATAATATGGTAACAGGAAATGTTCCGGGAAGGATATAGGGCATGTGAAAGCAAAAGAAATAGTGGTAAGAAGAAAATGGGAAAATCGCCACAAAACTTTGACCTTAACTCTATCTTCCCCTTCCCACCTATAATAGTGGCGCATCCGTCCACAGTATCAGCTCTTTTTTCTTATTTTCCTCTTTACTTTCAAATATTTGATTAAAAACACTATTCCCTCGGTTTATTTTATTTTATCCGCAAAATAATGTCATTCAGTAAGAAATCATTTATTCTAAAATTCTGCTTGATATAGTATTTTGGACATTTTTTTTATAAACTATTTAAAAGTGTATTTATTTCCAAATCACAGCATTGCCTTTCTGCATAAAATTGTTTATAGTTATTGTTTTAATTATAATTAAAATTTTATGGATGGTCATGATTTTATATAAAAGTAAAACACAGTTAATACTAGGTATGACTTTATCAGTTAATGGGGATTCGTTCAAAATTGCATTTTAATTGCAACGAACGATATCCAATATATACTTTCAAAATATCCCATCAACGACAGTGTCCTAATCTTGGTGCGAAGTATGTTCGATTTTTTTTTAAATGTGAATAGTATATGGCCAGAAATTCAATTTTCTTGTCTAAAAGCCACACTTTAAGCGTGAACCAACAAAAGTGTAATATAGAAACTGACATTTAAAAATTCGGCTTTTAAGTGTAATTTCATTATAAATACAAAAATATAATAATAATACATAACAATTTTGTAAAAATATTACCTATAAATTAAATATTTTGATCAAATGAAATCTTTTAATAATCTGTCAAACCATTTTGTAACTTGGCAACAGTAAAAAGATCAATATTTTTAATATGTTATTTTAAATTTACGTTCAGTTGAAAAATAACTATTATTTTTATTCATACGATTTATGTAGTTAATATTCGATTTATTACGATTTAAATTCATTTAACACAATGATTTTTTTGGTTTGCCTGATACCAGTTGTACTAACAGTGATGTTTCTACTAGATATTCAAACTCCTAGCTGCAACGAATCCGACGAAGGAAGCTCGTCAATTTGGCATAAAATTCGTGGTTACAGGAACGTGGTACTTAAACCACGTGAATTTTCTAAACAGGTAATCATGGCCTTGAGTCAGAGAAAGATCTATAATCTCAAAGCGGTGGACAAACAGACAAACAAAAGTGAAGACGAGAATGAGATAGATATGCGGCTTTGGAAGTTGATAAACAATACGTCCGTTGACTTGGACTCGTTCTACCCTTTGGTCAAATCGATGGATTTGATAATAGACAGTTTTTGTGATCGTGTTGAAAATATTGTTCTGAAGTATCAGGTCGGTGTTATTCTAGTTCCATAATAAATATCTATTACACAATATCTACACTTGGCGTCACAAAAATCGCACATCTTTAAAATTAAGTTTCAAACGGGCATTTCCCCGAACCAAAACATTTAATCCTAACAATAAAGATATAAATTGAAAGTACAGTTAATGACCTCTTATCCGATAGTAGTTTCATTTCATAAACAATAATCATATTCCAAGTATACGGTGCATTAGGAAAATGTATAAATATACTCCTATCTTATCTTATATTCTTTGGCTATATCAAAATCAGTTTAAAGTGTCAAATGCAGGTCATTCACTTCCTAAACATTGAAAAGGGCGTACGCGAATACTCTTTAAACAATATTATTTCAAAAAATAACGTATTAAATGGATACAACTGCTAACAAAGCCGCTCAAGTGGTAGCATTAATGGAATCAGGGATGCGTCAATGTGATGTTGCACGGCAACTAAACTTGAGCCGTTTTGCCGTTCGACGAGTTTTCCAACGTTATCAAGAGACTGGTGGCTTTATCCGGAGGCATGGATCAGGCCGACAACGCTGCACAACGGACAGAGATGATCGTTTTATTGTCTCGACGTCTTTGCGCAATCGATTTTCCAATGCTATAGAGCTTCAACAGCAACTCCGCGCAACTCGCAGTACAACAGTAAGCACCTCTACGGTTAGGAGAAGGTTAGGAGAACAAAAAATTGTGGCCCGCAGACCTGCTACCGGTCCGAAACTGACTGCACAGCACCGCAAAGAACGGTTACATTTTGCCCGTGAACATTTTAATTGGACGCTTGACCAATGGAAGACTGTGCTCTTTTCTGATGAAACAAGGGTGTGTCTATACAGCAATGANGGGGCGGCATTTCCATCGATAGCAAGACCGAGCTTGTGTGCGTTTCCCGAACTGGTGGCGCTCGAGGACAAGGATCGCTAACTTCTGATCGATACATTACAGAGATCTTAGAAGAGCATGTGGTACCATATGCGGGTTTTGTTGGAGATGGGTTTATACTAATGCACGACAATGCTCGTTCCCACACCGCATTAATTGTAAAAAATTATACGGAAGAGGTTGGGATCCCTGTTATGAACTGGCCAGCGAGAAGTCCAGACCTAAACCCAATTGAGCACCTCTGGGACGAATTAAAACGAAGAGTGCGGTCACATGATCCTGCCCCAACAACCCTCCAAGATCTTCAATATGCTGTTGTTGCGGAATGGGTGAACATTCCTCAAGAACGCATCGTACGACTCATAACTTCTATGAAAGATCGTATGGAAGCAGTAATTAAGGCAAGAGGAAGTAGCACTAGGTTTTAAATAACATTTAGTAACAGTTTTTTATTTTTATATGAAGTCTATTGTCTGTTTCTGTTTGTAAAACTGTATATCCTCAATACAATTTGTTTTCCTCTTCCACGATAAACTTATTTTTTAAAACACTGATAAACAAAAACACATACCATTTATTTACTTTTCAAGTTTATTTCATCACCTTTCAAACGATATATCATAACAGTACCCTTATATATGATTAAGTGTAGTTAAAATTACTTTGAAAAATAATTTGCAATAGGTGCGATTTTTGTGACGCCAAGTGTATAACGTATCTATACGTTATCACGTCCATTACGCATACTGATTTTTTATCACTACAGCGATTATTATTTATAAATAAGAATTTTTCGAGTAAATTTTATTTCGATTTTTTATTCATTCACTACAGAAATGTATGGTCTTATTCACAATATTTTCAAGCAACAGCCCACGTTTTCAAACTAAGATTCAAAAGGTGGTTATTTGTCTAAATATATACCGTCTAGGAGTTATCTATTGAGTTTTATAAACTATTATAAGTAGAGCACAGATAATACATACACGAGAAAGTAATAAAATATGTCATATAATCTTCATTGAAAATTATAAAAACTTAAAAAGTCAACTTAATCATTCGAGCTATTGCTGACAATTTTGTTCGGTGTAGCGCATCATTTTTTTTCAAGTAGTACACTTTAATATACAAAAATAAGCAAAATACAAGTTTTGTTATGACTTTTTTTTAAAAATGATTGGTTTAGACTATTAAAAAACTTCTAAAAAGAAATAACATGCAGTAACATGCAAATCTGTACTCTATTTTATAAAAGTTGCAAATGTAGACCAAAGAAAAGAAGAAAAAAAATAATTGATTTCATATCAATATTATTGGACAATATTCAAATTCATCAATATTACAAAATATTATTTTACTAAAAATCGCTGGTTTATGATAAAATAATTAGCCCGTAGTTACCTATGTGTAATCTATTGAATTTAACTATTGAACAAAGGCGTCTCTGTGCGTGTTGAAAGAAGAACTGAATTGGGTAACGAAAGAAATGAACAAAATCGATGAAGAATTGTACGAAATGAAGTGCGTTCGTCCCGATAAAGCCAAAAAGGGTCCAGTGATCCAGTCCGATTTGTGCCGTGGTCTTAGTAAACAGATTCCCGATATGTCCATAAAATGTCCAACTGTAGCGAACTTCACCAAAACAAACGAGGACAGTTATTTCGCATTCGTATTTGAACAGCTAGTTAATAGGACAAAGAGCTAATGGGCATTTTAATGCTATAAGTAGGATTTTTAAATGTATGATACATAACCTAATGTAATTTATTTTTATATATAACGATAAATAATTGCTAAAAAATAATTTCGAATGAAGTTCGGTTAAACATGTTCTTAAACGCAGACATTTTTATAATTTTCATCATAATTTGAACATAGATTTTGGGAAAAAATTATATTAAAACTTCCTGATGATAATTCTGCGGAATCTTGTAATCATTGTCCAATTTAGGATAAACACGATTATCGCTCTTATCCAGTTTGAGGAAAGAGTATGAACAATGAGTTGAGGCAAATGGTTTAATAGTTGTTATTTGAGACATGATTGAACAACTTGTCGTAATTTATATTCCTGCTGTGTCACATTGAGTTTTTTAATTTAAAGTATCTTGATGAGATTAATTAAATAAAGTAAATAAATATAAAATTGAAAAATGTATGTAAAAAGCAATAATACATCATCTAATACTTCAATCGACGCATTCAATCATATATTTTGTTTTTACTTTATTATTATATTATTTGAGATTAATTTTTAGTTTTTCTTTTCATTCTACATCACTACAATTAACACCTTATGTTTTCATAGAATTTGCTTTTTCGTGACATTCCTATTTTTTCAAAAATAACTTACCTGTGCAATAACCTTNCTATTTTTTTTTCGGAGGGGGGAAACCAAACTCTCTTTTTGATTTTTTCATAGTAACCCGTTTACCTGGATTCTGCATCTCCCCAATTCACTAACTAGATTAAAATTAATACCGTTTCTGGAGATCATGATTTCTAATAGAACAGTTTGAGAAAAGATTGAGAAGTTGTAAATTTAATAAAAGAAAAAAATGAAATATTTCAAAATGTATATTTTTAACATTTTCTAATATAGTTCTTTAGTTTTAATTCTTTTGGATGTTTTATGCTGTCTTTGAATAACTTTTCGTACTTTGCTCCAATCATTCATGTTAGAGGTGGTTTCAAATACCTACCAGGTTTTGTCTAGTCAATACATTGAAGATGTAATTTTCCTTATAATTTTCTTATATCAGATGCTCGTTACTCAAATTTCTCAAATTTGTAAATTTAAATAATTATATTTATCATTTTAATTACAAATTTAATGATAAGATTATTTTAGTAATCCACTGTTTGACACACATTAATGGGAAATGAGTATGGACCTTTTTCTAATGAATATAATTTCACGGAAATAGAGATAATTCAATATGGGAATATCTTGGGTAGTCAGCGACTTGATTGGCGAAATAATTTTTTTTTAATAATTCACGGATATTTTAAAATTAAAAAGATTGAATATTTTTTTATAACACAAACTCAGAAATATATTGACTCAGAATATTATTAAAAAATAACGGGATTAAAAATTGTCGGCTGATAAGATCTTAATAAAAACCCATAGAAATATAATACTATGGATATATCTATGCAAAAACCCATAAAATAACTATGTTATTGTCACAGTAATTGATTAAGATTTTTGGCGCAGAAAGGGATTTTTCCCCATTCTGCACTAAACAATATAACTTTAGCTGTTGGTATTTTCATAGCAGTTTGATAAATTAGTCTCAAGTTTTACACAAAATATTATGAATTCAAGATAAGAGAGATAAATTCAAATCCGGTAATAATTCAATTTCGTTAGAAATTGAACGTATCCGATGTCCCCTTTCTGCAATTAATGATTTATATTATATAATACATAATAATAGTACTACATCAAAATATTAAGTATTAATATGATTTTATATAACCTCCACTACAGCATTACGAAAAAAAAAAAATTCTGGAGAGGGCAAATGGCCCTAGTGCCCGTTCCTGGTTACAGCACTTCATACAATAATTACTGAATTTTAAAGCATGTTTAATCGAACTTTGTTCAAAATCGTTTTTTGTTAGCAATTATTTACCCTTACATACATAATAAATTTATTATTATTATTATTTTAGTTAAATTTTATTACAAATTTGATTGAATGAAGCGAACAAATAAACCTATTCTGAATGTATTTTAATTTTGTTCCCCCTTTTAATCTGCGCCCGCGCATTTCTACGAATTATAGCAAAACAAATTGTCAAAGGACTCACAGTAAAGCGAAGAAACTTATTTTTCAATAGATTTTTTGAAGTTAGAGACGTGACATATGTACAAAGTCCAAAAAGTATTCATTCAACACAGCACGTACATTTTTAGTTATATTTATTTTTCTGTATCAGCTAATTTCGATTTTCCGTGTCAAAAACTTCACATTTATACAACTAGTCACGGAAATAATATGAATAAAAAATATATTGAAAATAAAAATAAAGTGAGATGTAATGTGAAGGTCTTAATATGACTTTAGGAATGGTAGTAAAATCTTAATTTTTTATTGTATTAAAACAAACAAAAAAAATTGACTACCTACCTATTTAATTGTTTTTAACTTTGGTAAATGTCCCTTATACTGTGAATAAAATAATTTAAAAAAAATTCATACGACATACTTTTATTCTTCAAATCTATTATTTCCTAATACTTTCATCTGCTGTTTGGATCCGAGTAAACAATTTGTGACTTTCCACAGTGATATTTTTGTGAGCTGAAAAATAATCAATAAAACGTGATAACAATTTTTAATGTATAAGTAATACATTTTCAATGCCATATGATAAATTTTAGATTCTGAGCGAAGCGAAGAATATACTGGTTTTACAATGATGTTTATTTTTTCTGTAAATTACGTTTCTGCTGTAATTTTACTCCGATTTTCAAGTGTACTTTTTTGAAAATAAATCTGACTAGAAGTACTTTAAACAAAGTAATTTTTTGATTTTTGTAGGAATTTTCATAATAAATTGGAAAAACTTAAGAAAAACGTGAAAATATACGAAATTTATAATTTTTAAATCGTAAATATTACGGCCTACCAAAATATATACAACCGAACTCCGCTCAGAATTGTTTTACGTTAGTAATGATTAATCGTTGCGTTCAGATATACATTAAATTTCCCCTGAACCTACCTAACTTTCCACTTACAACTATGGCTCACTCGTCGTACGAAGTATGTCCGGCTTTTGTTAAGATTTACAGTAGAATCGAATTTTCCCGCAGCTAACTAGTCACCGTTAAAATTTTAATTTTTTTCTTTTTACGGTTGATCTAAAATAGTTATGTGCAAACAACAAAATATATAATCAGAAAATGGCCGGGGAGTGGATTGAAAGTCGAAATTCCCAAAAAGCATATCCTTGATATTTATACAATTTTCAATTCCACTGACTTTATTTGAGGCTTTTGTAGGCGTGTATAATTATATATAATTATAATTATATAAAAAAAACACTCTTCTACCGCAACGTAATGAAATTCAATCAGTATCCACTTATACAATAATTCTAATTCCTGAGTATGAGCTTATTATGTTCGACTGTTCTCGTTTATGCATGCATCTGATTAAAACAACTCCGGTGTGTGAATATTGTAGAGAAAACATTCCTCGTGTTATCGCCATAAACTATAAATAGAGTTCAGTGTTCGATATAATTATGCTCTGAAACTTCAGCATAAAATGCACCGAGAGGGAGAGGGAATACGAAAATTCCGTAATATTTTATTGAAACCCATGTAATATTATGTACTTGTGTATAGCTCTCTTCTTGATTGAGCCCTAGATAGGCCACTAAATATAGATAGCTCAATTATATACTTATATTATAGAATCTCTTGTTTGATTAAAATATTATGTAACAGAGAGTTGATGCGGATCTACTCGATGACGTCGGTTTTTAAAACATCAAAGAATTAATAAATAATTTATTTTCGGGATTTCTTTTATACAGACATTTTTTTTTCCTACTGATTCACATTGCCGCGCGAAACTACAAGGTTTACATGTAAAAAAGTATTTTTATTGCGTATCCAATTATTATATTTGAGTTCTAGGTAATTAAAAAAACTATTCATTACGTAAATACGTACAATAAAATATATAAACCTATGTAAAAATAATTTTAAAAAAATATGGATATCTACGTAAACCTTACGTACTTACCTACGTAAAATGTCGTATGGAAAATAAATATATAAAACAAACGCTTACCTTTCCTTTTGACTGGAGAAACATCATACACTGACTCGCCGTCACTCATTTTAAAATAATTACACAAACGGAGAAAAAAGTAAAAATTACCAAACGGTACAATATCGTATTATATGTTTGACATATTATGTATAACTAACACTTTTATAGGCTCATATAGTGCACGGTGTAATACAGCGGTAACATCGTATAATTGTGGACCAAAATATATTAGTAATTTACATAAACAAATTACGAATACTAGCCCTGGATTATTTACAAAACAATATATAAAAAGAGTAGAAAGATCAAAATTAAAATTAAAATGTAGACGTTTAAATTTCGAAAGGTATTGTATAATAATTTAAATTTGATTATATTAAACAGATGAGGAGGGCTAAATCTATAAATAACTAGTTCTTATATNTAACCATTTTATTGCTTAAAAACAAGTAATATAATGTATTATATTATATTCAACTGATTTTTTTTTTTTTAATTGTAAATTATAAGAATTTTTCCAAAGAGAACAAAAATTATTGACGGACCAGATGAGAAATATGGAGCTGTAAATGAATTAGAGTGTACAATAACTGATATGACACATGACAAATATTTAAAAGAGGAAAAAATATTTTTAAATAATTTAAAGTTAACTATAAAAGAAATAGAAGAAGTGGAAAGAAGAACTGTAGGACAGCACAATAATAATGAAAATATAGGAAATCACGTCTCACAGCTTTAAATTTTGGCAAAGTGTGTAAACTTAAGAGCAAGCACTTCTCGGGCAAACACCGTCAAAAACATACATTTTTTATTTCAAATCAACATAATCTAATATTTTATATTTTTTTATAGGTTTTGTAGTTGATAAAATATTAAGAGACGAAGAATTTTGGAAAAATAATATTGAACCACAATGCACAAAATTTTATATGGAATCTTTAGTCCCAGAAATTATAGACTCGAGATTTGATCGAGGATTACCTATAAGATCTGGTTTACCGGAACCATAATATTTGTATATTTATTTTTTTAATATACTCTCTAAGTTAATACATACAACGTGTATTATTATAATATATTATCCTTTATACCTACCTAAAATAAATAGAAAACTCTTGTTTTTATAATAAATACATTTTTAAATTATTAAAAATTAAATTGTGAAGGTTTTTGCAGTAAAGCTAAAAATACGTGTGTAGAATAGACGTCGAACAATAATAATATGTTCTATGATAATATAGAACGTAGAAGACAGCGTATGCGGGTGTATTTACGTAATTATTATTACCGTGTACTACTATACAGTGTTGTTATAGTTATTTGTCAACTAGCAGATAAGATGTAGAGTGGGTAGTACCTGGTGTAGGACGGAGACCCGTACACATACTAATAATCATTTACTACGCACACAGTCACAAATGACTCACGCACGCACTTTAAATATTGCCTATGCTAGGGTGACCATACGTCCCGTATTATACGGGATTGTCCCGTATTTCAACTTTGTGTCCCGTTGTCCGGATAAAAGTAATACGGGACGCATTTTGTCCCGTTTTTCCAAGTCCGGCCAATTCGTTATCCACAATATTATTAGGTCTATGTAACATTGTAAATGTTATTTGTTATCAATATTTATACTCCTTCAGTCAAAGTAATAGTGTTCAGTCGTAGTGGTGTCATTTAGAATATACAGTTAGTTAATTTTTTTTCTCAAAATGCCAAAAAGGAAGTGTGTGTTTTCGCTCCTAATTTCCTTTTTTAAAAGATGCTGATGAAGTTGGAAAAGTGTTTTGTACAATATGTA